ATGCGTGAGGAGCCGCGGCGGTCGCCGTGCGTTTTCCGACGGGGCCCCCAGGGCGTCCGGTACTCGCGTGTTTTTGGCAGTCTGTTTGGGTAGATTGTACTGCGCAACGCCGCCTACTCTGCACCCTGGCGATTTCTTGGTCTCTCATTCTTTCTCTGTCCTCTTTTTGCATTTCTTCTTCCCGTGGCTATTCTCGGGCTCCCCTTGCGCGTCCTTTCTAATTCTAGTCACGTTTGTCTTTCTTAACTTCCTCTCTCTCTCCCATCTCTGTCTGTCGTCTGTCTCTGTTCTCATCTCTCTCTCTCTCCCCTCTTTTCTTTCTGTCCTTTGTCACTTTTATTAATTCAGCTCTACAGTCCCTTACAGCCCACCACCTCCCAGGTCACCCACCTTACAGCCCACCCACCTTACAGCCCACCACCTCCCAGGTCACCCACCTTATCCAGGCCCACCACCGTTCCCAGGTCACCGACACACCGCTTGACATTGCCCACACCCTTACTCCAGGTCACCCACCTTAACACAGGAGTGCCCACCACCTCTCCAGGTCACCCACTTACACGACAGACCATACCACTCGCCAGGTCACCCCCAACCTACTAGCCCACCCACCTCCCAGGTCACCCACCTTACAGCCCACCCACCTTACACAGCCCCACCTACCTCCCAGGTTACCCACTTACCGCCCCCACCCACTTACATGCACCCCCTACACAAGTCCACCACCTCCCAGGTCACCATCACCCACCTTACACATAGCCCACCACCTCCAGTCACCGCGCACCTAACACCCCACACCTCCCAGGCTTACCACCTTAACAGCCACCGCACTTACAGCCCACCCACCTTGACATGCCCACCACCACACTTCCCGGTCACACACCTACAGCCCACCAAACCTCCCAGGCTTCCCCTGCTTACAGCCCCACCACCTTCCTCAGGTCACACTACACCTACAGGCCCCACCACTCTCCGCCAGGTCACCTTAAGCCCACTCACCCATCCAGGTACGCCCACCTTAACAGCCCCACCACTCCCAGGTTACCCACCTTACAGTCCCAGAACCCACCTACAGCCCACCCACCTTTCAGCCCACCACCCCTCACCCAGGTCAACTCCACCTTACAGCCCACCAACTCCCCAGGTCACCCACCTTACAGCCCACCACCTCAACAGGTCACCCACCACTTACAGCCACCATCCCAGGTACCCCACCTTATCAGCCCACCACCTCTCCAGGTCAACGTCCACTGACACCCAACACTCTCAGGTCACTCCACCTTACAGCCACCACCATCCCCAGGTCACCCGCACCTTAACAGGCCACCACCCCCCACTCCCCAGGTCAAACCCACCTTGACAGCCCACCACCTTACAGGCCCCACCACCTACACAGCCCACCACCTCCCCCCTCCAGGTCACCCGCCACCTACCACCACCCCACCTGTATCAAGCCCCCCACCCTCCCAGGTCAACAACCACCTTTACAGCCACCATCCTCAGTCACCCCACCTTACAGGCCACACACTCATCCCGGTCACCCCCCTTACAGCGCCCACCACCTCGCATCAGGTCACCCACCTTAACAGCCTCACCACTCCCCAGGGTCAACCCCACCTTACAGCCCACCACCTCCGCCANGTGCGTGTGTGCGTTTGTGTGTGCGTGTGTATTTATATATAGTGTGTGGTATATGTATATATATATATATATATATCATATATATATATATATATATATATATACATACATACAATATTGGATGTATAATATGAGCGTCTTTCTGTACGTGTGTGTAGAAATTGCATTATGAAATGTTATCCGCCGCAGTTCAGATACACAGTAGGCTTGTTATCATGCACAGACGCAAATGCTTGCCCGCCCCCCTCATCCCCTTCTCTCTCTGCTTCCCCTCTCCCACTCCTCCTCTCTTCTCCTCTCTCTCCCTCTCTCTCCCTCTCTCCCTCTCACACACATACCAGCACACATAAACATATTTGCACATACGTATGCCCGCAGCCGCCCCACATGCATGCACACGACCCGAAGCCAGGACACAGCATGGCGGAGGCGAATGCACATGGCCGGCTTATGCAAGAGGATAGCGATTGCAGCCGGCCAATCCTTGCACCAAATTGCCTCCGCCTGCCTCCTCCTCCTCCTCCTGCCGCGGCGCATCTGGGGGAACGAACATCAAAAAAAAAGAAAAAAGTATATTTGCATATACTCGGGGTACGTCGAGGTTGTTTAGGCTGTGTGTGTGTGTGTGTTTGTGTGTGTGTGTGTGTGTGGTGTGTGTGTGTGTGTGTGTGTGTGTGTGTGTGTGTGTGTGTGTGTGTGTGTGTGTGTGCGTGCGTGCGTGCGTGTGTGTGTGTGTGTGTGTGTGTGTGTGTGTGTGTGTGTGTGTGTGTGATATGTATATATGTATGTATGTATAGTTATTTGAGTTTATATGTATATGTATGTATATATAAGTATATATGTATATATATATTTACATTAGAAAACATTTACGCTAATGGCATACGAACACCAAAAAACTTATATACGTTTCTCTATAACGCATATGCGAAACGCATTAATGAAAATATACAACTTGCATTATCACTACCAATAACCTACACGAGAAACCAAGACCGCACGCACACATCCGAACAAGTGCACCCATAATTCACGCCCAGGTATCATCATATTACGGACAAATCAGTTTGCTTTATAGGTGCAAACAATTTCAAAAATACACAAAACCAACGGCACGGAAGCCAATCGGAAGAGAGACCGCAGTAACCTCGCCATTATCCGAACGCAAGTTGTGAAAAACGATCAGCTGTCCCGGACGTAATGCGGGAGGGATCTTGGGTGGCGGGAAAGAGCGGGTCTTGCCAAGCCGGTTTGCTGATGAGGTGGATCAAGCTTGCTCGCGGTGCGCTGCCGTCCGTTTTTCTTCTTCCCGCTTTTTTCCCATTTTCTTTTTCCCGCCGTTTTTCTTTTAATGTTCGGTTGTTATTACGGGCGGGAGACAGCGGAGGCGGGCGGAGGTTGTGATTTGGGGAAAGGATTGAGAAAGGGAGAAAGGAGGGGGATAGGAATAGAGGAAGAAAGGGAAAAGGGAAAAAGGGAAAAGGAATAGTTATGGATAGAAGAAGAGAGATGAAGGGGTAGAGAGAGAAAAAAAAAGGATAGGGGAAGAAGGGAGAAGGAGAAGAAGGAGAGGGATCGGATGGATGGGATGGATGGAGGGAAAACGAAAATAAAAAAAGAAATAGGAATAGCAGGAGAGAAAGAGAGAGAAGAGGAAGGAGAGGAGAAGGCAGAGAAGAAAGGAAGAGAGAAGAGAGGAGAGAGAGAGGAAGAAGGAAGAAGAGGGACGAGAAGAGAGAAGAGAAGGAGGCAGAGGAGAGAACGAAGAACGGAGGAGGGGGGGAGAGGAGTAGAGGACGGATGGAGCAGAGGACAAAAGATAGGGAGAAAGGGTGAAAAATGGAGGAGACGGAATAGGGGGGGAGGGGGGAAACTATATACTAATTTTTTCCGCGCAAGAATTTGTTACGTTACGATGTGAGTGGTTATCCCTTTGAACTAGGTGGTTAATGAAGGGGAATGAGAGGAATGGGTAGCTGATGTGGTGGGGTGGGGAAGTGGAGGGGAGTAAAGGGGTCTCATGGTAGAATGTAAGACTGAAATAGAGTTAGTTTTACGATGGGTGTGGTTTAGCCGACAGATGTATTGGACAACCTTCTAAGAGGTTTGTGTTTCGGTGGTGTCAAGAGCCAGGGACTAACTTAAAGAGATAACAGAAAAGGAAAAAAAATATATCAGGACACAATTACAAGTACAAACACGCAATGCAATCCAAATAAATGAAATCCATCAAAAAAAAACACAAACAAAGACACAGGAACACATACTGTAAATTCGCAACACCCACGCACATTAAAAAAGGCAAACCCAAACACGTCAAATACACTGCAAATGCCACACATATACGCACATGAAGCAGGAAGAAGCAAAGAGACACGGACTGGAGGTAAAAAAATAATCTTCTGAGATAACTGGTTGTATCAAGGGATTCATCTTAATCTGATTCCAGAGCTGAGGCTAATTTATATCTGATTTTGAGAGGGGAAAAACTACCATAATTTTATATGTGAGAGATAGATCACTTGAAGTAAAAAGGGCTGCGATTACATTGACGGCCTAACATTATCCCAGAGCGTGGAAGAAGATAAACACACTTGATATGGATAATCTGCAGGAGGAGAGAGAGAGAGTTAGAGAGAAAGATGTGAGAGAATGACGAGAGAGAGAGAGAGAGTATGAAGATTATGTGCGAGAGAGCAGACGAGATAGACGAGAAGAGAAATGAATGAAGAGAGAGATAGAGAGAGAGAGGAGAGAGAGAGGAAAGAGATCGGTCTGATGAGAGCTCGACGTATTAAGGAGAGAAGAGAAGAAGCGAGAAGAGAGAGAAGGATGATGCAAGTCGTACATATGTTTGTATATGATTTTACGGTTAATATGCAGCTTATAGTGAGTTAAGAGAGTGACTTGGACGCCATCGAAAAGATATAGAGAAACGCTGTAAAAAGCATAGATGGAGGGGAACGGGAGGGAAGAAGCATTGAATGAATATTAAAGAACAGAAGACGAAAAGAGAGACAAGCAGAACGAGGGAGAGAGTAAAAGAGAGAGGAGGAAGCAGAAGTGAGAGAGAGTGGAGTGAGGGTGAGTTGGTGAGTCGAGGTGAGGATGGGCGAGTACCTTTGAGTCGAGTGAGGTGCTGTGATTGCAATGAGCATTGTGTTTGAGTAGTTTCGTTCGTAGCTCTCTAGCATGTCATCGTTCTCTCTTCGGTGTGTCGAGTACGTCGAGATGATTGTATTGAGTGTCTGTGCTCGTCGTCAGTGAGCACTGAGAGAGAAGACGAGAGAGAAGAGAGATGTAAGAAGAGAGAGAGATCGATCATCGCAGGATCGTGTGCATGCTCAGATCGATGCTAGAGAGGAGAAGAGAGAGAGTGTCGTTCGCAGAGACTGCACGCGTAGCAGAGAGAGATGCAGTAGCTACGAGAAGAGAGGAAGAGGAGAGGAGATAGAGGAGAGAGAGAAGAGTGAGAGATCTCGTCTAACGATTTCTTCTGCACGACGAGAGTGCAGAGATGCGATCGAGAGGAGAAAGAGAAGAGACAGGAGAGGAAGAGAATGACCAGAAAGAGCAAGAGAAGAATATGCCAAGTAGTATAAGCAGGTAAGAGAAGAGAAAGGAGGCAAAGAAGAGAAAGGGGAGGGAAAGAAGAGAAGCGAAGGTAGAGGGAATGTTGACTGACGATGGTATAAAGATGCCTTTCTCAATCAACAAAATTATTTGGTAAAATTGACAGCCCTCACGTGATCAAAATTTACATCACCACTACATCCTGTGTCCTAAGTTTAAAGATGTCGAATAAGCGTATAGGATGTGAACGAAACAACATTAATTCAGATTATTATTATATGCCACTTTCGCGAGAACAATCAACTAGGCCTAAGAGTAACTGATTTTGCCGAGAAGTTATTTAAACAACTTCAGTCTAAAAGGCCAAGGTTAATGCAACGGGGATGGAAAAGTAAAAAGGGTGAAATAGGTATCAATTGTATCTCTATGCTTATACTTGTCGTCCATGAACTTAAAGGTTCGGGTTGTTTCAGCATACATCGGGCGTATAATGCAAGAACAAACACAAACGCAATAATATGTGTGCTGAGACCACAATAAAAAGTTGTTTCGTTTCACCGTTTACTAAATGCGGTAAGAGGACCAAGCTGGCATGAATTGTGGTTTCTGATTCACCGTTATTGGTTTTTAGTACTAACAAAACGGCACACACATCCACATCCACATAGGCCTAAACCGTCAGAGAATATCCTATACGAAAATATCAACAATTACATGTCGAAAGATGAGGTAACGAACAGAGGATTTCTATTAAACATCTTTTCTCAATCACCTGTGTCCTCTTTCAGCTCTGCCAGCCCATTCGGCTGATGCTGGGGTACACGGGCACTGAGTTCGAGGAGAAAAACTACCCTGTCGGCGACGCTCCCAGACTACGACAAGAGCGAATGGCTGCGCCGTCAAGTTCACAACTCGGCCTCGCCTTCCCCAACGTGAGTAAGAATGGAAAGCAGTGGCAGGTTTAGTGCTAGCGAGGAACAACAACAACCCTGGCGGTGAACAGAGAGTCGTCAGATCTGAGATAAAGAACAGACTTTCCCCCGTTCGCATCCAGCTTAGGAGGATACGGGAAACAAGGTCTATTCAAGTACATACATAGGCCTTGACGGGAAGTTGCCTCTGCTGCCAGACTCACTGACATTTATAGTTCAGGTGAACGCGATCCCACATAAAAGATGTGGCCTAACGATAATACGGTCTGTATGAAAGTGATTGCGGGGAGGCTGTTGGAACTTCGCTCTAATACTTATATCTCGCGATCTCTGGCCTTCGAGCTGTAGCCATATGTTATGGAACAGCCAATCGGCGGTTCTCAGATGTTGATTTTTGAGTTTGGGTCGGCGGTCGCCTTGGTGGGTGCTTTCGATTAATACATGCTGTGCATTGCGCCACTGGGGTGAGTTATTTGTATTATAGACGAAAAGGCTTGCGTTAAATCAGTGATAAAGGAGGTTGGCTACCTTGGTCATATTGGGGACACCATTGCTATAGGGTTTCTTTGAATACATAACCAAGAACCCTACTGATAGTGCTGGATCTCTCATTGCGTCTCGTCATCCTCCAATCTCTCCTCTCGGTCTCTTCCGCGACTTTAATACTCGGTTTCGAGAGCAATGTCTAAATACAGCATCCAGCCACGCTCTCGCTCAGGATGGCTCTCATCAGCAGGCTATCTCTGTCCTAACGTCGGGAGAATCTCTCTCATCGTCGGGTCCGCGGCCGTCTCTCTCACTCATGTCCGTGTCTCGGGTCTCTTAATCTTACTTATTCTTACGGACTCGCTCGTCTCTCCTATCAACTAGACTCATACACAGGTAAACTGTGATTACCCCCATCCGCCTGGCGCTTTATGCAGCTTATTGACTAATAATCCAACACTCACTCGCAAACGTACGACTCTCGAGATTCCGCTAGAGTATCATCAATGGAAGCTTCCAAAAACGCGCAAACACTAGGGGCCAGAGACCGGAAGATATCGATAGTGAGGGATTGGTCTATTGACGTGTACGAGGAGGGTTAAGCGGTTCAGACGCGTAGCTTATACTTGCAATGAGTGTTTGTCTCTTCGGAGAGGCGGAGGAAACGCTGATGCATTATGTACGTGTAGTTACTTAAAATCTTTACTTTGGATCAGTTACCGTGCCACACAGTTTATTGTTTTATTTCTTTCTGTGTAGGAGACCGATGCCGCAGGGCTGTTTGGGTTCTTGATAAATAGCATAATGTCTGTAGAATCGCGGGTGTTGGATGCAGGATAAGGGTTGGTTTATTCTGTATGCGGCGTCAAAGATGTAATCGCCCCATGTTGAGGGACTTTGTGCGGTCGCGGTCCTGGGTTACGTTTACACTCATGGTGGAATGTTCAGTTGAATCTGAGGCAGGTGTAGTATACTCTCTCTCCTCTCTTTCCACTAAACTCATCTTCCACCCACTTCCCGCTCACTCATCCTATTCCACCTATCACCGTCACTCACACATCACTCTCCTTTGCTTTTCACTTTCTCCTATCACCTCCTCCTCAGTTATAATCCTATCTTGTCTGAGGAGTAGAGGAGCAGAGGAGAGAAGAGAGAAGAGAGAGAGAGAGAGAGTAGAGAGAGAGAGAAGAGAGAGAGAGAGTAGAGAAGAAGGTAGTATGGGTAGAGAAGATGGAGAGGAGTAGTTCATCAACGATAAGTACTTTTAGGCCTAGTCCATCTTCTAAGGAATCAGCTTCCCCTACTATATGACGGGACGTGAAGATTAAAACGGCAGGGAGCAAGGGCAATATGCATGCAAAATACCCTGGCACGGAAGCACGCCTTGTGTGGAACTAGACAGACGCCGGAGGAACTCCTGTCAGGATCAGACATTGAATTGACGGTTCACACTGACAGAAACAATGCACGAGCTTTTCTTTACGTCCACCTACGGAACATATCGTATGGACTCGCTAGATCTAATTCTTCTACGTATAGGCTTTCATGCCGCAATCTGTATTACGTATTTTTATGAAAGTTTCTGAAGTTGTAGATAGGCCTTATATGTAAATTGTGCTCAGTGCTTGACAGATTAGCGTAGTCGAGCTGCATAGACCGATCTTCTATTATCAGGTTAGCAATTCCTAAGATTAATTACGGATCGGTATGAGGATATGAAGTATATGACCGTATAGTTATGGACGGAACGCGCTACCGTGTGCTCGCTCTCGAGGATTAACTTTCTCCTGCATGTAATAATGATCATATGTCACATCTCACTTTCTAATCCCATGTTCGTCACATAATACGTCTCATACAGTCACGATTTCCCAATAAGTAAAACATCTTTACTTAGACTCTCACGTACGTCATCCTAGCCGATAGTCTCTAAACTCTTGCTCCTCCACCACCAGGAACGAGCACCAGATAATAAGCCTTACCCAGCCTCTCCCTCCCCGCCAAGGACTGAATTGGCAGTTCGAAATCGGGACGTTCTCGTCGGCCCAAAGCAGACCTGGTTCGCCGGGACCAAGGTAGGCTTTGGCGCTGACCGCTGACCCCTTTGAATACTGCAAATTACTAATTTCATGGGGCGAGGAAACGGATTGAAGCGGTAGTTGGGCGTAACTGCGCGGAGGGGAGTGCCCTGACAGCCGCTACATAAAGAGGGGTTCTCCTTGGCCATTACTCCCAGCGAATCAATTCTCTGAGAATTGTTCACAGATTAGGTCCGCGAAAACTTATAACGATCGCATAGATATGGGCCTGGCATAAACTATTGTCCTTTTTAAACGCCCGTTTTGAATAGAAGTATGCTATTGTCTCGCGTTCCTCTCAAGTCGCTTCCGTGAACGAAAAACGGGAGGGAGTATAATGACGACTATTTTTGCATTCAATTAATAAGATTGACCTAACACAACGGTGCTTCTTTAAATGGCAATTTAGTGTCTTCTTTTACAAATGGAAGTTTTGATTAGCTGTAATTGAGCCAGTGATAAGCCCTTTGATCTTACAAGGTAAAGGAGTCGCGGTTAGTAAATAGGAGCTCTGAGGGAGGGGGTCACTTTATGTGTCTGCTTCAGCAATTCCACGCGCATCGGAGGTCGAAATATATATGGATTTTTCGAATCCTAGAGGCCGATTCCTATTGCTTCTTGTTCTTTCTAGGTTTTATTAAAGCAAAATGGAGCACGAGGAAGATGAGATAGGGGTATTGCGTACAACGCTGTGTCGTTTACTTCGCGGTGCACCTTTTATTCCTGTGTGTCGTAGGAGCTTACTCGTATCCAATTTCACATTTTTACGTCATTGTGCTGTTATGGATATGTAACGTGTTCATTCAATTCACTCCACACCAGCAACTCATTGTCCACTCACCCTCACTTCACTCACACATTTTCCATAATTAATCACTACACAGTAGCCGCATGGGGCTATACACTTACATAGGTACGCCTACCACCGCTACACGCATTCACATACATACATACACTATTATTCCACTATACACACTACATACCATCTACATATCATTATCAATCACGATCACACACATTACTATACTACATACATAATATAACTGTACTATCGAAGTTTACCACACATCAATCAGGTACCATACAATAATGACAACATACAAGAGCCACACGAATACCTATTTGACATCCCACAGTATACCCATACTACACACATAGGGTACATTATTTTCACTATACACTTATGTAACACACACCATACATTAGCATTTACCATACTGCATACACAATATCTGGCTGTGTCTGTCTCCTTCAAAGATGTCAAGTAATTGCGAGTTGCTTTGACACGGAAATTGCTCATCAGCAAACCCCTCAAAGCGGATCCCTCGGAACCTTAATGTTAATCAAATCTCAGAACACAGATATAATTTTACAATTACCTTTATATTCGATTGCAGTTAATATAATCACAGACGTACGTAGAATATCATGGCGTCAGGAAACTCACAGTTGTCTCGATGAGTTTTACGAAACGATAACAATAACACAACACTCGGGAAAGGAAGTCACGGAGACACTGACGAGGATTCGAACACTGCTTCGGTCTGTTCGAATGTAAACAATGCACAGCTGATCGGTCTTTCCCATTGGAATATGGAGAAATTTGGCCAAAATGAACGAAAATTGGTCGAATGGGGGATTTTTTTGCCATTTCTTGGTACATGAAACTTCTTCTTTAAATGTTTAAAGTAATAAATGTGTTATTATAGTTTATTCCCATACTTTTTATCCATTTT